AATGGCAGGTCCTCATCTCCCGGCGGAATGACCGGCTCATACTGCTCCGACGGGCTCGTCATCTCCTCTTCAGGCTCCGGCTCCAACCAACGCCTGGCACCTGTTCCTTCTTTCCCACGCCCCTTGGCATTCATCGGCAAGGACTTGGGTCTGGCTCCCAAGGCCTGACTTCCTCCACCTCCGGTACATGACCCCCTTGACGTCCCACCTCCAGTAGACGCCCTCTGGGATGACGATGCTCCTCCGGTATACGGCCCGCCGAACGTTCCCCCTCCAGCCGATGGCCCACTGGCTGTTCCACTTCCAGCCGATGGCCCACTAGCCGTTCCACCTCCGGTAGATGACCTCCTCGACAATCCACCTCCGGCCGATGGCCCACTGGCCGCTCCACTTCCAGCCGATGGCCCACTAGCCGTTCCACCTCCGGTAGATGACATACTTCTTGACATAGTTTCGCCCCACGGCTCCACTGTCCTTCTCACCTGATGCGCTGCACTCCCATCTGTTTCCTCCTCCGGTTCCTGCTCATCTTCCCGAAGAACTCCCCGATTCCGAAGGGCTCTGATCCTTGGCGCCACCGATCTCTGGCACACTGTCTCCACCAGCTTGTAGAGGATGATCGACAGGATGCTCACGAGCATCATCAGGACCTTCAGCATGTCATGATTCTCGTCCTCCCCCGTCTCTTCCATCTTCTCCTTGACCGCTTGCGCCTTCGAGATCATGCTCACCAAAGCAACCACCTTGATCATGGCTGCCGTCTCCTCCGGATCTCCGCGCAAAACCGTCACCTTCTTCTCCTTCTCTTCACCGCCAACGTTCTCCACGTTCTGCTCCTTCTTCTCCACCAACGGCTCTAGCTTCCACAATTTGCGAAGGTCCTCGATGCGTTTGCCCGTGAGTGCCTTCGTGCCCAAGTCCGCCAGCATCACCTCTCCCGACACATGGTGAATCGACCAACTCTCCTCTATCAATCTCCACCGCAAGTTGTAGGCCCGAACTCTGAGGTGCCGAGTTCTCCAGCTTCCACTAGCCTCTTGCGTAATGGCTATCGCTGCCGAGCTGTCCGACAGGAGCTGCCTTCTGTAGTTGCCACCCGTGACCTCCTCAATCTCCATCACAAGGGCCTCCACGCTTTCGCCCATGATGATCCCCTCCAGGCACTCCATGAGCTCCGCCTCCCCTGTCGACAACGTGGGTGAACTCTGCCTCGAGCTCCTCCAGGCCAACACTGCTCCGTTCCATAATACCGCCACCGACCCATGGCTCAGTCCTCCTCCTGGCGCAAACGAGGCATCGGTGTACACCTCCAGTCTCCTTTCATTCAGACCAGTGATGCCCTCGCCCACATTTCTCTCAAACCACAGGCCCATGTCCACAGTCTTGTGCAGGTATTTTCTCACCTGCTTCCCCAACTCCACAGTCCACCTCGGCGCTTTTGTCACTGCCGAGGACATCCGGCTCGTCACGAACATGAGGTCCGGTCGCGTCTTGGTGGTAAGCCACAAGACCTCTCCCACCGCCTTCTGCGCAGCCTGCACCTCCGCCGCCGTGATGTTTTCCTCCTCCGGCATTTCCGTCATATCTTTGCTGATCGGAATGACCGACCCATAACCACCATCTCCATATCGGTTCAGGAGCTCCTGCGTGTACGCCGCTTGCCCGAGATGGTAGCCTCTTTCCGTGCGGCTGATCTCCATGCCGCAGAATCTCACCTTGGCCCCCAAAGTGACAAACTCTGGCTCGCTGGTCTCCCACTTCTCCCGGATCACCTTGTAGAGCTCCTG